AGAAAAAAAAGCATGTGAATAGTGGGATTGTGGTGTCCGCAAGGTCCATAAACTATATTGGTTTTCACCACTTCGTATAATTCTGTACTATCTCCTGTTCAGGAATTTTCGCAGAAATTATTTCATCAATTTGATCTGGTGTAACCACCATCCAAAGAAGAACAGAGTACATCCAGCATCTAACAAGATGAAGTCCATCAAACATGTTAGGTGTTGTTTGAAAAGTCGTGTTGTGACATCGTGACGATCCCTTGCTGATTGACCGCGGTTCAATAATTCCATAATCTGTGACAATTTTTCATTGCAAGTSAATCTAACAAAGAAATCCGGCCGTCCATAATTGCGGTCACGAATGTTTGTCATCGCATCTTGCGAGTACTCGTCCAATGTATGGATATGTTGATGGCAAAAACAATGCCGACCGATATTAGGGCGACCTTTTCGTGGCATTGTAACAAATTTCAACTTGTAATTGATTACTTTGTTTGAAACACGCATAAAGTTTTCACTGAACAATTTTCAATAATTTACCTTTCGAATTGCTGAAATAAAGAAAGTAAACGACCGAAATTGAACGATTGAATAATTTACAAACAAATCAATTGGAAAACAACAAACAAATATAAAAAATTTTGTATAGAACAGTATTTTTCTGGAAATTTACGATCGAAAGTCGGTTAAAAATTAACATTTTCTGATGTTTTTTTACAAACCATAATTGGATTCCATTCAAAGTTGTTCAGGTCATTTTTCATTTCATGGAATGGTTTAGTCAGCTATAGCGAACAGACAAAAACCCAACTGATTTTTATAAATAAGTTTGAAAAATAATTATAATTCTTCTGATTACTGTTGTTGTTGTTGTTTTAACGGTTATCTAATCCCCGTTAGGGTGGTAAGGGGAATTTGCAATGTCGTCGAGGTCATCTAACGGGACGCCCAGGAAACGTGCTTTTTCGACTGGGTCGGACCAAAGGGAGGAGGGTGTTAGATGAGTAGGGTTTTTGTGGGGCATGTAAAGGGGTGGCCAGTAAGTAGAACATCCAGAACGAAGTTGCGCTAGGGTCACTCGCGTTTCTCCGGTCRGCGTACTGTACGACGTCGTCGATGTAGTCAAGGAAGGACCTTTTGATGCTCCTAGGAGACGGCTCCGCTCCAAGCAGATGGCTACCAGGGTGATTCCTACGGAAACAACCTAGCAGGAACTGTCCGAAGAGGAGTTTATTATGCTTCTTTACAGGAAGCATAAGCGTCTCACTGCGGAAGTGTTCTATGGCAGACATCAAAAGGCATCCCGCCGTGGTCCGGAGTGCAGTATTCTGGCAGGCGACCATATTGGTGCTGCGTAGCTAGCAACTTGAGGATCTAGTTGCGGCTCTGTACTTTGGCAATAATTGCGGTCGTATGGGGAGAGAAGTAGCATAGACTGTCGAAGGTTACGCTTAAAATCTTAGGGTCATTGACAGTCGGAATTTTGACGTCMTCAACTGCAGTATTAAGCTCAAGTTTATACTCCTTCGCCCAGTTCTTGAATATGGTCGCTGTGGAGGAGGAAGTGAAGTTTTTTCAATGCCCTGCAGTAGCGTTGTGTGGTTGACTGTTTCAAAAGCTTTTGAAAAGTCCAACGCTACGAGGATCCTTCTCTCACAGGGTGGTTTCTGGTTGAGGCCACGAATTATCTGAGCGTTTATGACGCTAAGTGCTGTGGTGGTGCTGTGCACTTTACTTAATCCATGCTGGTGACTGGCTAAGCCCAAGTGGTGAGTGAAAGTTGAGAGTAGCAAGGCCTCAAGTGTCTTCACAACTGGGGGCGATAAGATTCCCCTTTTTTTGCGGGTTTCCCAGGTTTCAGTAGTGGGACCACTCTTCCGATTTTCCACACATCGGGTATTTAAAGAGCGGTCAGCGACTGGTTGAGGACCTTGGTGAGATAACATACTCCCGTCGAGCCTAGGTGTTTTAGCATTAGCATGTTGATTCCATCAGGGCCAATGGATTTAGAGGATTTTGCCTTGTTGATGACACTCTGGACCTCTTCATCGGTGAAAGTAAGCGGTGTGCAGTTGTTTGGCATATTGCATAGCCGTCGATTAACACATCTCTTGGCTTTATCTACCGAAGGGTGCAGTGTAAACTGCCGGCTAAAATAGCTCGCGCACTTCTTCGGGTCCGAGGAGGCATGACCATTGAATTGAACTTCAACTCGGACAAAGCTTTGACAGTAGCCCAAAGCTTACTCACACCGGTGGAGAGGTTACAGGACTTCAGGTGCTCTATTCATTTCGTCCGCTTATGATGGTTTACCATACGCCGAATCTCCAAATTGAGATCCATTATTCGGGGATCCCCGGGATCGGCATGGCGTAAGGTGTCGTGCTCATTAGCTAAAACGGCTGCTTCGGCTGGGAAATAGGGGCGGATTTCCGCTATTCTTCCAGCCGGGATAAAGCAAGCGGTAGCTGCTGCGATCACCTTGCGGAATTAACGTTCACCAACGCATGTTGAGGTGCTCTCGGTAAATTCCGTGAAGCCGACCCAATTAGCTTTGTTAAAATTATTGAAGGTACGGTTGTCCACAGAAACGAAATMAGGAGGCTTCTCGATCGAAATAATTATGGGCAGGTGGTCTGATGCGAGAGTTAGATAGGTCGCCAGGTTATGCTATTTATCAGACCACCACTAGCGATGGTAATATCGGGCGAGCTATTACATATGCCCAAAATTCTGGTGAGGGCTTCGTCATTCATTATGCAGAATGTCGAATCGTCAATCAGTTCCGCCAGCTCCATCCCCCTACGATCATTTGACAGGCAGGAATGACAAAGATAGCGAGGCGCGTAAAAGTCGCCTAGTACTAAACRGTTTTCACCACGAAGTAGCGCAGCTATATTTGGGTGATATCCTGTAGGGCAACATGTAACGKGGGGAATGTATATATTAAATAGCTATACCCTGACATTCTAGGGTAGTATCCCCGCGGTTGATGTCTACATCGATTAGACGATACTGCACGGTTTTGTGCAATATGAAGGCTAGGCAACCACCATTATCTCGCTCGCGATCTTTACGTAAGACGTTGAAACCGGCACAACACAGAAGATCTGAGCGGTTGTTTAGCTTGTTTCTTGGACCGCAGCTATCAATACGCGTTCCCGATTCATGAGTGAAACTATCTCCTCGATCTCCGTTGCAGTTAAATTGAAAGATACGAGTTTGTCGCGGGTGTCTGATTACTGTCGTAGACACCGCTTACGCGATTATAGCCGAGTTAACAACAGCGCGTCAATCGTTTTTTCTCTTCGCTACTTGGCGCCAATTGGATATTCCAAGCGAAGCCAAAACCATAAAGTTTATTGTTAAAAAATAAGAATGATCTTATATTGAGTATAAAATAAATAAATAAAAATAATAAT